CCGCACATCCAGCATCAGCAGGTACTTCCGCACCTGGAGGGAGGGAGGGTGGGCAGCAAGTGAGGAACACCCCTTATTTCAACAAACCACCGAGGGGGATGCCAGCTCTGAGGACATGCTGCCTGGGATGGAGCTGCCATGGGGACACCATCTTGGGGACACCAGCTCTCCACCCCATGAGGGAACAGCGGAGGAGAACAGGGCTCACCTGGTGGAAGATGAGGGCCTGGCTGATGTAGCCCCAGGTGCTACTGGGTGAGAGGTAGTGGAGAGCGAGGAGGAGGAGGAGGAGGAAGCCCAGGCTCGCTGAGGCCGACACAGGGCTGATGAGGAACATCATGACACAGCAGCCCGCGATGCCCAGCAGGCACGTGTGCCAGGTGAAGTACCGGAAGGTGGGCCTGGAGCAGGGAGAAAGGGACACCCACTACTGCATGGCCTCCATGCCAGCTGCAAGGCAGGCACGGCAAGGGGTGCTGTGCCAAGGTGCCAACCAGCCACCCCCAGCAAACCCTGCTGTGCCAGCCCAGGGCATGTCAGGCACCCCAGATACCTGCAGAAGAGGGCAGAGAGGGGAGATGGTACCTCCCAGGGCACCAGGCAGCCCCTTGCTGCCAACCCCTGGCAAAGGGGGTACTGATGGTTACGGGGCTCTGGCTGCCCTGGCACAGCCGGGCGGGCAGGTAGTGTCAGGCAGTGCGTGGCAGCGCTGGCGGCCGCAGCGCCTACTCAGCCTGGCACAGGGAGGCGGAGGCGGGGAGGCAAGAAGCTGTTATTTTCTCTAATTGTTGTTTTTCCTGAAAGGTAATTAAAATCCTTTTCCGCTGCGCTTGATGGAGACCTCAGTGCGGGGAGGGGCAGCACCAGATGTGGTGGGGTGGGGGAGGGGACCATCGCCACCCACCCCAGCAGCCTCCCACCACCCCAGGGACCCCTCCTGCCCCCTCCGTGCCCAGTCAAGGCAGCAGCTGGGGGAGGTGGTGGTGGTGGGGGAAGCCACAGCCTGGCACAGACACAAGCTGTCCCTTGGGAGTGGGGCACTCTGGGGGACCACCAGGCAGTGCCACCCAGCCCTGCTCTGGCACCACCTCTGTCCCACCTTGGGGACTCTGCCTGCTTTGGAGGGAGAGCACACTGCATCAAGGGCGGCAGGCATCACCCAGGAGGGAGATGAGGCTCCCCCCAACCACCCTACCGTGCCTGCCCCCCAGATTTGGGCA